GTAATTTCAGATACACCCTATCCCCCACCTTGAATTCTCTATCAACCCTGTGTTTATCAGCATAAAACTTCATCCTTTCCTGGGCCAATTTAAGGTTTCCCTTTAACTGTTGTTGTACCCTTTGCCTCTGTTTTAGGAGGTCCTTAACTTCAATGCTGGTCATGGCAGATGGAGTGGGTAATGACAGGGTGGGTGGAGAGTAACCATATAGGGCCTCAAAAGGGGTAGTTTTGAGGCTGGTATGGTAATTGGTGTTGTACCAATATTCTGCCATAGTTATCCAGTTGAACCATTGTTTAGGGTTTTGGTGAACCATTGCCCTCAAATAAGCTTCAAGGCACTGATTTAATCTCTCAGTCTGCCCATCAGACTGAGGGTGATAGGAAGAAGTGTAGCTCAGATTGGTTCCCATAAGCTTGAATAATTCTCTCCAAAATCCACTCAAGAATACCACATCCCTGTCAGTTAAAATGTCGAGGGGCTGACCATGCAGTTTAAATATATTATCCAAGAATGCCTTAGCCACTGTAGCTGCAGTATAGGGGTGTGATAGTGGAATGAAATGTCCAAACTTAGTCAACCTGTCCACAACCACCAGGATGACATTCTTTCCATGTGACTTAGGCAGCCCCTCTATGAAATCCATACTAACATGACTCCAAGCCTGCTCCGGAATGGGCAAGGGCTGTAGCAGCCCAGGATAGGGCCCCCCATCAGGTTTAACCCTAGCACAAATTTCACATTCCTTGATCCACTGAGTGACGTTCTCCTTCATTTTAGGCAAAAAAAAAGCCTTCTTTATCCTCATGAGTGTGCCTTGAACCCCAGAGTGTCCCCCTACAGCTGAGGAATGTAACTCCAGAAAAATAGTGTGTCTTAGAGTTGTTGATCCTCCCACAGTTACCCTGCCCAAATGCCTCACAATTCCATCTATGACCTCAAAATCTGGATTGGAATTGGGGTCTTCTTGCTTCTCTTTTATCAGTTTTAGAATGCAATCATCTTGGTGATAACTATCAATTACCTGCTGCATCCATACTGGTTTGACAATGGAGAGAGTATAGCATTCCTCTCCAGCTTCTTCTTTCCTTGATAAGGCATCTGCAACGTTATTTTCTGTTCCTTTCTTGTATTGTATTTCATAGTCCAATCCCAGTAGTTTAGTAATCCACTTTTGTTGTAGTGGAGTGGTGATCTTCTGATCCAGCAAGTACTTCAGGGCTTGTTGATCTGTCTTGATTATGAATCTATTGCCTTGAAGGTAATTCCTCCACTTTTGCACTGCTAGCAAAACAGCTAGGAATTCCTTCTCATAAATGGAAAGCCCCAACTGTTTGAGACCCAACTTTTTGCTAAGGAAGGCAATAGGTCTTCCCTCCTGCATCAATACTGCTCCGATTCCTCCCCCACTAGCATCTGTCTCTAAAATAAAAGGTTTAGTAAAGTCTGGCAGAATTAGAACAGGGGTGGTAGTCATGGCAGCCTTAAGCTCCTTGAAAGCTTGGTCAGCCTCAAAATTCCACAAGAAGTTTCCCTTTTTAAGAAGAGAAGTCAAGGGTCTACTGATGATGCCATAACCTTTGACAAACTTCCTGTAGTAACCTGTCAAGCCCAGAAACCCTCTCAGTTCTTTAATGTTAGTAGGTGTGGGCCAACTCACCATGCTCTCAATCTTCTCAGGATCTGTGGCTACACCCTTCTCACTAATGATGTGTCCAAGGTAGGAAATAGATGTTTGCCCAAAGCTGCATTTACTTTTCTTGGCATAGAGTTGATTAAGCTTTAGCCTGGACAAGACTTCTCTAAGATCCTCCATATGTTGACTCCAGTTAGGACTATAGACCAAAATGTCATCAAAAAATACCAAAACAGTCTTTCTTAACAACTCTCTGAACACTTGATTCATTAGGGATTGGAATGTGGCTGGAGCATTACACAACCCAAAGGGCATGACTAGGAATTCATATTGGCCATTATGGGTCCTAAATGATGTCAAGTATCTGTGTTCAGGGGCCATTAGTATCTGAAAGTACCCTGAACGCAGATCAATCTTAGAGAAATAGGTAGCCCCCTTTAACTCATCTAGTAACTCATCAATAACTGGAATAGGGTAGTCATGCTTGATAGTAAGACTGTTCAAGTACCTGTAATCTATACACATCCTCCAACTGCCATCCTTTTTCTTTACTAATAATACTGGAGATGAAAAGGGGCTCTTGCTGGGTTGGATCTCTCCTGTCTGTAATAATTCTGCCACAATCCTCTCCAATTCAGCCTTTTGACTGTGAGAGACTCTATAGGGATACTGTTGTTTAGGTATGCTCCCAGTCTTAAGTAATATCTGGTGTTCAATGCCTCTCTTTGGGGGCAAGGATTGGGGATCAGCAAAGACACTCTCAAACTCCTTCAATAATTGTTCCAGCTCTGCCGGGGCTTCATAATTAGTCTCCTTTCCCGTGATCCAGTATACTTCTTCCACCGAGCTGGGTACCTCTTCATGAATCATTTTGTATATGGTGTTGTAGGAAATGATAGGGCATTTCTCTTCACACAGTATTTCCACCCTAGTATCATTATGAGTGACTGTTACACTCATTTTCTTATAATCAAACTGGACAGGAGTGAGCTCCCTCAACCAATCTCCCCCCAATATTAGATCAAACTCTGTCCCTGGAAGTACTCTGAAAGAATGATTGAATATGTGTTTTTGTATACTCCATTGAAAATTGGTTATTTGTGATGTACTAACCAGTTTGTGTCCTCCTGCAGCAGTTATTCTTATAGGGACAGCCTCCTCCATCTGACAACCAAGTTTGCTAGCTGCAGAATAACTTATGAAGCTAAGTGAAGCACCTGAGTCTATTAATATATGTATAAGCTGTTTTCCCACTCTTCCCTTTAATGTCATGGTAGTGGGTCCTTTTTTGCAGGTAGCAGCATCTAGTGTAAGAAGTACCTCATCCATGACCTCCTCATGAGCAGTACCTCCTTCTCCCATTTCCTGAGCTTCTGGTCCAGGGTCATCATCCACCAATAGAACATACAATTGCCTGTTCTTACACCTATGTCCAGGTGAAAATTTCTCATCACAATTGTAGCATAGTCCTTTCTCTCTCCTTGCTGCCATTTCTGTTTGTGTCAGGAGTTTGAATGGAGTTTGGGTTTGAGGACTATATGCCTTGGTAGGGAGTGGAGTTATGCTGGAGTTGTCCACTTTCCTTGGACCCAGATTTGGATTTGATAATGGCCTTCCCCCCATTTTAATTTTCTTGGATAATACATCAATAGTAACTAGCTGATTTTTCACCAACTCAATAGTTGTTTCTAATGTGGTAGGTTTGAACATCTTGACAAAGGCCTTAGATTCTTCTGTGAGTCCACTTATGAAGCTAGAAACAAAATACTCTTCAGTAAGTGCCCCCTTGTGTATTATCTGCATACATGATCTGAGTTCCTCAAATTTCTCTACATAGGCTTCATAGTCAGGTCCCACCTTCAGTTTGTTGAACTCCTCAATAACTGAAGATGCCCTGAGCCCCTCAAACCTAGCAGAAATCACCCCCATAAACTGTTCCCATGTGAGAGTGGTGAGGTCCCTGTCTAGATGTTGAAACCATAGAAGGGCCTTCCCTTCAAAATGTAAGGCGGCCAGAGTAACCCTTTGATCTATTGGTATATGGGGCATTAGTTTAAAATACCCATTGCATTTCACCCTCCATGATATACAGTTTGTTCCATCAAACTTTGGAAAATCAAGTTTGGGAAAAGGAGCAGATGCGTGATAGTTACCCGTTTCTATGTTTTTGGGCCACGGCTGAGATCTTCCTATCTGAAAACTATGCAGGTTGGGCTTGACTGGTGGCTCTCCCAATATAGAGTCACCTATTATCACCGGATCCTTGTCATGATCCTCCCTTCCTTGGCCAATATGAGAGCTCGCTGAACTGGGTTCCGCCTTCAGCTCCATTGCTTCAAGTTTTTTGTGTATTGATTCCAGTTGCTTGATGATCTCACACTGAACCTCCTGATTCCTCAAACGGATCTCCTCATTTTTTTTGTTCTGCAGCATCCCTCTTAAGAGTTTCTGCCAAGAAAGTTTGTTCTAATCTCTTTTGCCCTTCCAGACATTCCTTGAGCCGGGTGCCATCCGCCATCTTCCTGGATCAGACTGCTCTGATACCAAATGTAACGGTATTGGCATGTTGTAGGAGTTAGTTAGAGAAGAAACAGAATGTCAGGGAAGAGAAGAAAGAGTAGAGAGAGAAATAGAATTTAGGATGATATATTTTCTGTCCATTTCCATACTTCCGATTACAATAAATTTGTTTTCTGCCAAGCCCACTAATGGGTTAATTACATATTGATAGAATAGCCCAACAAATAATAGACCAGCCCATACTGATAAGACCAACCCTGCTTCCTTTACTTTTGCCGCTACATTTGTTCAAACTGTTTTCAATAGCCGTTCATGACAGCTTCCCCCATTATGTATCATGATGTTCTGGTTTTTTGCTCTTGACTTTCAATTCATAGCTATTTACTTTGCGAGTATGTTGTCCAGCGGATCCCTGAATACATGCACAGGCATCTGTTTGAACATGTCAGGCGGTACGCTCGCCTTATCTACGGTGATGCATCTTGGGCTGTCAAAGTGGACGACTTCTGTTTCTCCAGTGGGTTTGCCGAGTTCTTAAGCGAAGATGACGTTGCATTTGGAACACACATGCTGCTCCGCCACATTGGCGACTTCGCGTTTGAATTACTGATGTTTGATGATCTGGGATTCTATCTGAATCTTGCTGGGACACCCAGTGGTTCTGTCAACACAGCGGACAGGCCAGGTACATTCGCTGCATTGTTCTTTTACTTTTACAACCCATCACTTACATCTAATACTTTTTGTTAGGTTGCCGCTCACTACCCGTACTCACGGTTGCGCCTTTATGACAGTTCCCTGCATGTGTGATTTCTTTATGCATACTCCTAATGCTTGCAGGTGACTTATGTGTGTATGTCGATTCTTGTCTTCCAGATTGCACATACATGCAGCTCTACTGTCCTCCCTCTTTTCTGTATGTGCATAAACAAACGCCTAAGGTATGTGTCTTTTGCTATTCATTGCTTCTTTTTATTGTGTTGTCATTTTACTCTTCCAATATGTTGCATTTATTAGAATGCTTGGACTCGCTGCGTGACATGATGCATCAACTGAGAGAAATTTTACCCATACATATTATGGCCACTGGTTTATATCATTTTTGCCCATATAAGAAAATGCAACACCTGAGTGCCAAATGCCCCACCAAGTGCTTTCACCAATATTATTGCCTCCTTAGTTTCTTTGCACACATCCTTAATTCCCAAAGTCTTACAACATATTTAGTGTTATACCAAAGCTTGCATTTTATAATCTGTACCATTGCCATATTATCCAAGGGAATCCTTACAGTGTGCTCTTGTTTTTCAATACAGAAATTATGTGAGGCGTTTTTGCGGTCGTGCACTGACATGAGGGGGCGCCTGCAGGTATTCTACGGAAAGCAGTCCCGATTCTCCATGCTTGGGGAAGAGCCAATGTTACACGACATTCAGAAGACTTTTCAGCTCTATCGGCAGACCACTCTGGCATTTATTAAGCATGGACGTGGTAGGGCACTGCTGATGGCAATTTCAAAATGCGGACCGGAAGAGCCCCCCAAATGCGCCAAAACATATGAAATCTGCACCTCAGTATGCAACAACTGCTCTGGGCCTTCCTAATCATAGATGTTCCGACTGTACTCTTTTGCTTAGATGTGTGCAACTGAATCGATACTTTTAATGGCTGTGAGTCCCATTTTTTTGCTATGACATGTAGACTAAACTTTAAATTAGGGACATCGTATCTCCAGTGCTTGATGGCTGCTTTCATGTAATGACACATTGAACTTGTGTTTCTTTTGCTGTGATGAGATGCACCTATGCGTCCAGCAAAACCATCCTCTTTTTGCTCATCAAATTAGTGTGTTCGATACATATACATTCACTATGCATGTGAGAACAGTTCAACCAAAGTTATTCATTATCCATGCATGTCGTTGAAACTCCCAAACCGCTTCTTTCCCGTTTATTCTCCATCATTGGGCATCTTTCGTCGCGCGTCCAATATCATTGGGCATCATTTTGAGTTGTCTGTGACAGACAAAATTTCTGTGAAGGACGGACATGTGTACACATTTTGTGTACACATTTTGTATACCTCAAGCATTTTCTATTTAAAAGGATTGTGTCAACTTTTGAGGGTTTGCCAATGCACACTGAATGGACAACTTTGAGGTGATTGTAATTGACTCTTGGTGTTGTGGATTTTCAATTTTGCCCCGTATAAGACTTTGAAGTTTCTGATTGTCATATTAGCAATATGTAAATAAAAGAATTACATTGAATACATTAATTCGGGTTATTATATTATTGTTTTATCATACATCAATTATATCTTCAAGAGACACTAAGATCTATTAGTATTCAAACTTTCCGATAATGCTACAACGTGTGCATATTCCCTTTTGAGAAAGTAGATACCAGGATTCATAACTCTAACCTCTAAGCCCTTTTGGATATTGAGAAAAATTTATATAAATAATGTATCGATAATTCTAATTGAACATGACAAATTTTTTATAATTCTTAATTGAATTTTTAAAATTATTGGAAAAGCATTTAAAATAAGACTTTAAAAAATTGCTATACTTTTTTTTTACATTTGGAATACATTTACCTAAAGTTAATTTATAATAGATTTGTATTACTCATTATATATCACGTCGTATTTGTATTACAAAGAATTACTCAAAGTACTGCGTATTATTTTTAAGATTTTCAAAATACAATTAAAAATTATGGATTAAATCTAATGGATAAAAATGGGCACTGAGTAACTTCTTTTTTTATTAGGTAAAGATGGTTAAAAGAGAATATTTTCATTTGGATATTTTTAAAAATGTTGAAAAATGAGAGTTATAAAAAATGACTTTTAAATTGGAAAAATGTAGACTGAGAACATGTTTAGATAATATATTAAAAAATAATGTGTACCTCATAAAGCATACTCAATAAATGAGAATATGTATTATGCCAAACCAATGTTATAATCGATTGAATAAGCGACATTTCACTATAATAATGCATATGTATACCAGTACGCACACATATACTAAAGCTAAAAAAATAAAATCATTTTATCCTTTGCACGACACAAGTAAATAGAATAAAACGTAATAATTTTTTATATATTTTTTGTAACAATCATAGTACAAATAAAAAATGGGGTTTTGTCTAAAATATTACTAAAAAAGAGCTATAGACAAAAAAGTCGCATTCTCCTCCAATTTCTAAAAATAAGACTAAGAAGTGATTAGGAGACTATTATACCCCTATTACTGCTACAGTAACGTCACAGTGACTAGTAACACCATAGTGACCAAAATCCGCCCGTGACCAAAATCCGCCAGTGACCAAAATCCGCCAGTGACCAAAAATCCGCCAGTGACCAAAATTCGCCAGTGACCAAAATCCATCAATGACCAAAATCCGCCAGTGACCAACACTCCAGTTACTACTGCTCCAGTGATTACTGTTTCAGTTACTATTATCGCTCAAGTGACGTGGCGCCATCCTAATTAGTATTACCGCTCCAGTGACATCGCCTCAGTTACTACCGCTCAAGTGATTATTGTCTCAGTTACTATTACCACTATAATGACATCGTCTTAGTTACTTATGCTCTAGTTATTGTCGTCTCAGTTACTACCACTCTAGTGACCACTGCCCTAGTTACAACCGCTCTAATAACCCACAACAATTAAGGTCTAGTCACTGCCCCGTACTGTCAAGTGACCTCACCCGACGCCTAAGTTGTTGGTCGCCGTCCGGTGACTAGTTGCCCCGACACTCAGTAACTTAGTGACCCGTGGTCACTGCCTGCAACTCTGAGACCTCAATGACCTGCTGCGCCACCCTTGCCCCGCCTCCTCGGCAGTCACCGGCGTCCCGCCCATATAGCCCCAATAGCCCTGCCCCCTGCCCACCAGTCCACCACAGACCCGCCCCCTCCCCTCCAGTCCACCACAGACCCGTTCCCTGCCCACCAGTCCACCCCAGAACCGCCCTCTGTCCAACATCCCACCCTAGACCCGCCCCCTACCCACCCTAGCCCTCCCATGTGACACTAGAATCTCTGTTGACCCTGCCCCCTGTTCGAACAACCCACAGGGCCACACCCGTGCACCACCAGCCCGCCCCCTGCCTCTCCTATGTCACGTCGTTGACCCAATAACCCCATCCCCTAGCTTCATCCGCTCGGTATTGTCCGCTGTCGCCGGTGTACCACAGGAATCGACCACGAAGTCAGGAACCCTAGACACGTTGTCGCCCCAGATCTGAACCACTGTGGTGACGGTGGCAACGATTTGAAATGGGGACGTTGGGACCGATCGAGTCGGCGAAGAAGGACACCGTCGAGATGGCGATGAATGGATGACGACGGTACTGCCAATGCTAGAGAGGGGAGAAATGGGCGCATATCTTGCGTCGAGAAAGCTTGAGAGACGGGAAGGAGTTAGAATGTTTTAACTTGGACCGTAATTTGCTGGTCTGGTCTGGTCTGGTCTGGTCTGGTAAGATCTGGTTTCTTTGTATTTTTATAACTATCCAAGTCTGGTCTGGTCTGGTCTGGTCTGAACTGGTCTGGTCTGGTCTGAACTGGTCTAGTCTGGTCTGAACTGATCTGGTCTGGTCTGGTCTGAACTGATCTGGTCTGGTCTGAACTGGTCTGGTCTGATCTGGTCTGAACTGGTCTGAACTGGTCTGGTCTGGTCTGGTCTGGTCTGGTAAGGTCTGGTTTCTTTGTATTTTTATAACTATCCAAGTCTGGTCTGGTCTGGTCTGGTCTGGTCTGAACCGATCTGGTCTGGGACAAATTACAGTCCAAGTAAAAACATCCTTAAGCTGAAATTCGGATAGCTTTTTAGTATTTACAGTAAGGGTAATTTTGTCAGTTTATATTTAAAGAGTCTCTTTTTTGTCCACACAGGACTTGTGAGTTATTTTTGTCAACTCAAAAGCTATAACTAATATATTGGTCATTCTTTCTAAAAAAATATACTCTGTAACACTTTAAAAGAACAGATATTTATTTAGTGCTAAATTATTGTTTTTTATTTTTATATATTCAATATTGATGTCATATGAAAGATAATAAAAAGTTATAAATTATGATATATTTTTTGTAATCATCAGAGTACAAATAAAAAAGTTATAATCCTTTAAAATAAAATGGGATTTTATTTTTTGAACTACATAGCTTTAGAAAGTTTTCTAAACTATCGTTACATGAGTTCCAATCTATCACAAACAGTATTGCAAATTAACGTAACATGAGTACAATTATTTTACTAAATTGGAAAGAAAATATAGAATGTTACTACGTATAATGAATGTTTGCACACATAGCAAAAAAATTTCATAATTGTATCTTTTGAAATTATTATGTATAGATGCCCATTTCGCAAAAATGGAACTAATTATTGGGAAAACTATCAAATAGGTCCCCGTAGTATGCTAAAAAAGTCAATTAAGCCCTCGAACTAAAATAACACCCAATTGAGTCCATGAAGTTTAGAAAAATAGTCAAATAGGCCCTTTGGCCTGTTAACAACCAGTTTTCCGGTTGATGTGTGTACGTGGCCAGCCACATGTAAAATTTCACTATTTTTCTTTTTCCTTTATTTTTTATTTCTGTTCTTCCACTAGCTCCACTTCTGCTTCTTCCCCAATCTTTTTTTCTATCCCCAAGGACCTAGCTCCACCCCCGTCGGATTTTTATTTCCCCTATCACACACAAATCTTCTTCATCAAGCTTAAAAAAGGAATTCCAATAATCGAATTTTGAGTCTTTCATCAACTATTCTTCAATCACCAACTAGTCTTCCGTTTCTTCGCCCTTCCCCTCTTTTTTTCTTCCGTCCCCATTTTGCTCCGTCTTCTTAATTTAGTCTCCAAGTTCCAACCAACCTCTTTTTTTCTTCGTTTTTATACTCCTTCATCAAGGATTGGGGCCGTGGAGATCACCCATTTCATTTACGTCTCCTCCAGCGAGATGGTCTTGAGGAGGAAGTCAACCCTGTCATGCTCTGTTCGACTGAAAAGGGGACAGTTAGGAGGGCGTTAAAGGAGTTCGAAATGCAAATATGATGGAGCCTACTATGCCTCCAATCTTCTATGGACTGGGAAAGAAAAAGATGGAGCAAAGTCTGGAAGAACCAAGAAAAATGGGGGTGGGGAGACGGGGTATGAAAGAATCAAACGAGAAAAAAAGGGGTGGAGGATCTTGGGGGAAGAAAAAAGAATGGGGAAGAAGAAGAAGTGGGCATTGGGAAGAACAAAAATAAAAAATAAAGGAAAACACAAAACAGTGAAATTTTACATGTGTTTGGCCAGGTAAGCACATGTGTAAGCACATCAACCGGAAAACCGGCTGCTAACTGGCTAAATGGCCTATTTGACTACTTTTCTAAACTTGTTGGACTCAATTGGGTGTTATTTTAGTTGGAGGGCTTAATTGACTTTTTTTAGCATACTACGGGTCTATTTGACAGTTTTAGCATTAAATAATTAATCCAAGCAATAATGAGTGGATAATTTCGTATGTTGCACCGGGGGCTCTTTTTCTTTGGCATCATTGAACTCCATCTTCAAGTTCAAATAGGGGCAGACCGGCAAACTAGTTATTACTGGCGTGTTCGACTGTTCGTGCGCTAAACTCGCCGGTCATCCTTCCACTCACCACCTTACGGTCGCCACCGCTTTAACCGGTCAGCCCATCAACTCCGACGAGGCGGCGATTGACTGTACTACTTACCTCAACATCGAAATCGTTAGCACTTGGCAAGCTCCACCTCCAAGCAAACTCTACCGCCATTCCCATTTCATTTACAGGTCACAAAGGTAATGGACCAGCCTGGCGGCGGAGAAGAAAGGAAAGTAGTCACGTCAACAAAGGCGGATGGGGAGCAAAAGGGCTCGGGACCGGTGGAGGATCGGGTTCAGTATCCTGATCCAAATACTGAAGCAGGGCCGCTTCTGGACGATTCAAGTGCTTTGGATGAGAACCATATCGAGATTGAGAGTGGAAAGTCCGTGAACGCTTTGAATAGATCGAAGAAGTCGGTGAGGTGGAGCCAGGAATTGGTAACGGAATCGCCCATACCGCGCACGATGTCTTCCGATGACCATCGGTCCGGTCCTTATGTCGCTTATTCTTCAGCATCTGCCAACGACAATCCATCTTCCTCCAATTTCAAAAGTCTGCCCCTCTCCTTTTCTTTATATGGCGACACTCCCCTTGCACAATACCATGATATTCTGATGCATATCTCTAGAAATTTATTCATTTAACTACTACGTATTACTTATACAAGAGTATCTAATTATCTTTTAGTCCATATACAATTAGTTTAAGATTATTACTTCACACTCACACTCTATCTTTGTAAGCTATTGCTCTATTCTAATATATCAATCAATCATCATTTACCCCAGTGCCGCAAAGGCTCCCACCTATGGTGGGGTAAGGGGGTCGGATGTACGCAGTCTTACCCCTGTACTAAAGCACAGAGAGACTGTTTCCGTATGACCCATAATGAAAATCGCGTCCAAAATTGCCTTGATTGACCGCTGCTTCATAACAAAGAAGCGCAGACAGTTTGGTGAGCCATTTTGCTTTATTCCATCATATTCTCAAGCCAAAAAGTAATGAATCTTTGGCTCCATTGCAAATGATGGAAAACTATTGCTCTATTCTAATCTCAGTAAAAAATCAGAGCTGTCCTGTAAAAGTGATGGCTACAACATGAGTGTGTGAAAGGCAGGATTGAGTTCATTTGATTCAAGAATTTTGTGGTGTTAACTAGTTCTCAATAAAATGGAAATTGTCTTAATAATGTGCTTTTGATGTCAGATACAATGGAGACAGTTAAAGATGCCTTGGGGAGATGGAGGAAGAGGGTAGGCGAAGCAACCAAAAAGGCCGAGGATATTGCGGGAAACACATGGCAGCATTGTAAGTTATCTTCATTTGAGAGATCCGTATAACCAAATCCGTTACATGCTTTGTAAAGCACTACTAGATTATATATATGCTGTCTTGTTATTCAAAGCCTAATATTTGACTATGCATTTGAAGAAAATGAGACTTGAATGAATATAGCCACCATTATTATGAAAGTGTTTATGAGGGAACAAATGCACTTTATTTAAGACCTGATTTGTTGACTGGTGACATAGATGGAGAGAGACTCCATTGTGCTGATGACATCCACCACTGAGCCTCATGTAACATCGATATATGGGTTAGGCAGGGAAAGTAGATTAAGCATTGTTTCCCATTTTAGTTTTCAATCAGATAGAACCAATGTTAGACCTAATTAATTATTTATCGGGAAGGATAGTTAATAGTAAATGGGAAATGTAACTCATTTTATTCATCTTGTAAGCTTGTGTTTACAAATGAGAATACCTCACTTGTTCTCCCTCCTATTTATATAGTTTTCATTTGTTGATGTGGGAATGTCTCATGTTAGGGCTACACCAATGCCAGAAGAAAGTCTTATTCTAAATATTATTTTATTATTATCAGGAGTCCTATCATTACTACTACTATTATTGCCAGTACTATTAGTATTAATAATTTTATTTCCTATTCAGTTTTATTCAGCTTCTTATTAGCCTTAAGCTTTGTGTTTCATAATGTTGATTAAGAAACTATTGTCTTAACTAAGGCTCCCTTTCTTTTAGAGAATGGGAGTCTTGGCGCATCACTTACAGTGTTTCATATTGTACTTCGATCGACCTCACTTTTGTTTGTCTTAAAACCGGGTATGGAAGGCTGTGAGAACTGCTATCAAGATTGGTCCAACCGTCCAAGTATGGCTGTAGATTCTCTACTTGCCCTCTCTTTTGGCCTTAAATAATTTTTTTGGCACAAAACACCATCTTTTAGTCTGCCATTACATGCATCGTTTTGGTCATTTATAAATTTTATGGAACTTGATGTTGATACTAATACTTGTCAGCAGTCAGCAGCAAACATCGTATCAAGTCATCACAAAAAAATCAATAAATGTCATATTTATTAATTTGGCCTGAATGATATTTATTATATTGTTCAGTTTGTATTTGAGTATTTCTCTCGGTACCGAAGTTTTTAGTAAAATTATCTATATTATGTCGTGTCACAACATCTTTTTTTTTTGGATGAAAGGTAAGTGTATATTAAAATCATCCAAAAGTAACAATACAATGTATCAAAAACTATCTAAGCTAGCTAATCTAGACAGAAATAGTATCTAGCATTCCTCCCCCCACCCCCTACCATGCGGTAAGGGGCATGAAGAGAAATTTTAAATGTTCAGAAAAAGCATCCCACAAATCCAAACTAGCACAGGACAGGCCCCAGCTGTTGGTACCAACATCTTCTTGTTGGTACCAAGTGTTGATACAGCTGTCAATTTTACGACCTATTACTACATCTTCTAGTTGGTAGCAAGTGCTCAATTATCAATCTAAGACTTATTACAACATCATCTAGTTTGCTTCTTAGTGCTTGGTAAAAGATTGTCCTTACCCTCTCACCCCTACTTCTTAGTTTTATTCAATTTCCAGTTCGGGAAGTCCAGACCTGTGATTCTTACCTATACCCCAGAGGCATGGTTCTCCTCCATTCCTGTTTTTTTACCTCCATCTAGACGCATGTCACTCCTATCAGGTTAACCTTTTGGAGCACAACCCAAGGTCTTAATAGGACATATGTAGTTTGTTGGTTTAGTCTCCATGATCACATGGTTATGGTTACCGACAACAAAAAGCAATTTCAAAACATGTCAGCTAAACTAGCGACCAAGTTCGAGTTTTTTAAGCCCTAGAGGCATGGGTTCTACATACGTCCTATTGAGACTTGGGGACTAACAAGGTTCGAGAAATAGCCCAAGTTCTTATATATTAATTTATTATTTTATACCAAGTCGATATGAGACAAATATACTTCAACTCTTCCAAATTAGCATATGACAGACACTGTGTGGCTGTGATGTTATTAAATGGTTTTGCCTTGCCTCACTTTTGTATTTTCGTAAAATACTGTGTGATCCTGACACATTATTTCTCTTCCATTGCACGGTTGTGAGAGCAACTTGGATATGTAGTTAACCGCCTCCCATTCGGCAGATTTAGTACTATCGAAAGGGGAATTGAGTAGGTGGAAGGTCAATTTCACAATGGTAGGATTCCCTTACTTTTATCTGTATTCCTAACAATTCTGTAACATGCTTGGTTAATAACACCATTATACCGCTGAAGTACTTGCTACGTTTTTGGACAACTACTAGGTGTGATCCTCTTCCACTGATCAATCGGCCTTTAGATTTGCATTCTTGCAGCCTTTGCTCAATGACTGTTTGTAGATATTTTCATTGCCACCTTAATCATTCTTCACCAAATATATTTGTACAGATATTTGTAATATTGACGACTTGGCAATCTTCAAGCTCATTAAGACTTAATTTGATCAGTGAGTTAGTCTCTCTACCCTAGACATCTCTGCCACACCTCCAACATGTTCATGTAACTTGTTCAGATCATCTGCCTCAACATTTTCTATCTAGGCCATTCTCAGACCTCGAAATGTTCAAGACTTCGAGCTTTTGTGACAGTCCCAATCAAGTTTCTCACTGCACCTAGGCGAGTTGCAGCGCCAGTGGACCACCTTATTGCCTGCGTGGACGACTGCTCCTGCAATTAGCAATAATTATTATAATGATATAAGTATATAACATAATATTAATATTATAAATTAAATTATATCACTATTTTAATTGAAACCAGAATCCAAATAATACAAAGCAAAATCTTAATTAATGGCTCAAAACAAGAGTTAAACAATTAAATAGTAAATTTACAAACACAAAATTGAAAGCAGGTTTATGAATGATTTCGAAATAGTTTAGGTGGAAATGTAAAAATCAGAAACAAAATAAAGGGAAATCTGGGAGAAGGGAAATATGACAATCCCAAATTAAAAGAAACTTAAATTAAACTACAATCCTGCAACAAAGAAAACATGCGACCTATGACTATGATGGAACTGATGGTTAGTGCAGAACTGCGAGTAGCCGAATAGGGAAGGCGACATAGCAGCCTGTGAACGGTGACCTGCAGAAGGACCTGCAGCTAGGGCTTTTCGCGACCTGTGCCGTCATCTCCAACATGTTCCGCTTTCTGTGACTTAAGGTTTTAAGTTTATTTACAGGGTACACGAGTCGAGTTTCTATGTTTCAGAGCCTAAAAGGTGGGCCACAGTCGTTTCCTAAACAGTTGAACGACGTCAAATCAACGCCAAGCGATGCCCAGCTTCTTCCAGTCAAGTAGAGTTCTCTTGGCGACTCCTCTACACCGCCAGGGCACCTAGTTGGCAACTACACGACGCCGTGACAAGAATGGTTCCAATGCCTAGCTTTATTTGTTTCTTATTTTAATGGTATGCTTATGAGAATATAAGAAGATATCAATAAGCAAGAGTACTCAATGTATTCACTGTATTAATACTTATTTCCAAATGGGACAACAACGTCTGTTACACTTCATTGTCGAGGCTGATTATACACCTTGGACTATGGTCGTGGGTCTAACTGCCTAACACATCACTTAAACCTGTATGTCTCGTGTGTTGTACTATCTGGCCGTGCAGATAAGGTAAAATTAGTGCTCCATATTCATTAAATGAATCAATAGTTACAATGATAGTGAATAATCAATTGCTGAGTAAATATTTTTATGGAGATTATTCTATCTTTTCTATTTTACTTTAGCTAATTGATAGGAATGGGCCTATTATATTAAGATAATAATAAGTGGGACTATTAGTATGGAGAATAAATGGGCTGGTACTATTAATAGTAAGGAAGGGGAAAGGGAAAAGGTAGGCAGATTTTGATTTGGGAACTCAGGTTCTGGGAGAGTCGAGGCCTCTTGAAGTGCCGTGCCCGCGTTTGTATTTCCTCTTCTTTCTGCGTTTCACCGTAATAAAATCGATAGTTTACTGTTACGATATCTGTATACTTATCACTAATTTTCTTATCTTTTCCAGGATTCACTAGATCCTTTTTTGTATTTTCTGAATATGGTGACATCAGAAGTATTTAGGTTTCCGTTATCTTCCTTTTGACCATCTGTTTTCGCATTTTGAGAATGCTGTCTGGTATTGCACTTAATTTTCTCTGCTGTCCTTGTTTTTGGGTGTTACTGTGTTAGTGAGGGAAAAAGTTTCACTATCTTTTTGCTTGGCATATCTTCTGTTTTGTGTAAATTTCTAATATTTTTCTTAGGGGTTAAATAATATTATCTGTTCTTGTCCTATGATGCTCACTTTGTTTATATTTATATTTGTGAAATCAGAACTTTTTTATGACTTCATAAAAATTGTTTGCTTTAGTGAAAACGGGGCCCAGTCTTGCTGATGCTGCTTTGGGAAGACTTGCACAGGGGACAAAAGTTCTAGCTGAAGGCGGGTATGAAAAGATATTTCGTCAAACATTTGAGACAGTTCCGGAGGAGCAACTTCAGGATTCATTTGCTTGTTACTTATCAACATCAGCTGGTCCAGTTATGGGGGTTTTATACGTGTCCACTGCAAAGCTTGCATTTTGTAGTGATAATCCTCTTTCGTACAAAGCCAGTGACAAGACAGAATGGAGCTATTATAAGGTATGATTCGATTTACCTCTTTGGCTTTAGGTATCTATTGACTTCCAAACATGTTTATGAGTATGAAATACTCCGTGTGTCATAATTATAAGGCACTTTTTAAAGTGTGTTAGTTTTCATATTAAGGCATTGTCTTTTCTTAGAAGCGTTTATTGTGTTTCTTTTTTACTCTGATATTATATGACGATTCATGTTAGCTGACCCTGAACTCTTTTGCGAATGAGGCTTGGTTGTTGTTGTGTATATTGTGTGTACCAACGTTTGCCCCTAATACATATTGTTCACATGTTTCTTTTGAAAGTATCATATACAGGACATAATAAATGAGTGTGAAAATGGGACACGATTTAAAATTTAAGAACCCAAGAACAATAGCTACTTGGGCGGTTTTGTGTAATTATGTCAACTAAGCATTACAATATGTTCAAGATGGAGTATGTCAATAGGGATAGAAGACCATTAATGTTTTGAAGTACAATGCTCACTCTGGTCCTTTTTGAATGGGTCAATGGGCCTTCTACAAGGATTTGCTCTTTTCTTTGGATCATTTATTATTATTATTATTATTATTATTGTTATTATTTTCTCACTATTTACCCTTGGGAAAATGTTCTTGTTTTGGACAACCCAAAAAAGAAAGTGTATTGCAAAAAGTGGAATTGTGGAAGTATTTACGATATGTTAAAACCCAGATCAACAGTTGAACAAGATTTTATCTATGAATGAATCGTAATCATACGTAGAACAAAGATATCAAACAACAACTTTATTGATATTCCTAATGATGAAGATGATGAAGTACAGAATATCAAATAAAGTAGTCTAGAGAGAGAACGTCCGTAAATATGAGCTTCGACAATAATAATATGCGGCTAATAATACTAGGGAAAACTATCAAATAAGCCCCCGTACTATGTCGAAAAAGTCGATTAGGCCCTCGTACTTTACAAACACTCAATTAAGTCCTTCAACTATTAAAAAACGTTCAATTAAGCCCTTTCGGTCGATAAGTAACCGGTTTCCCGGTTCAACGGTAGTGAAGGCGACGATGTGCTTGAACCCCAGCAACAGCGGCTGCCGGGAAACGGGTAACATTTAACCGGGAAACCGGTTACTTACCGACCAAAAGGGCTTAATTGAATGTTTTTTAATAGTTTGAGGACTTAATTGAGTGTTTGTAAAGTACGAGGGCCTAATCGACTTTTTCGGTATAGTACGGGGGCTTATTTGATAGTTTTCCCATAATACTACGAAAACTCTTGGGTAGTTCGCTACTTAGGATGTTTTTACTTGGACTGTAATTTGCTGGTCCGGTGTGATCTGGTCTGGTCTGAACTGGTCTGGTTTGGTCTGGTCTCCTTGTATTTTTATAACTATCCAAGTCTGGTCTGAACTGGTCTGATCTGGTCTGGGACGGATTACAGTCCAAGTAAAAACATCCTTACATTTCTATTTATAGATGTAGTAGTCGAACTCCTAATTACATAAGGATGGTGATAGAACACTGGTATGAATCTAAGTAATTCAACAACAATTCAATAGAAATCTAGCTATAGATCAGATAAAAAAGGAATATTATTGTAATAGGGAAGAACCACGGTAGAAGTACAAGCTCTGGGACTGTTCGAGAAGCCCACTCTCCAAGCCAACCAACAACGGAATAACAACCTGCCTTATTTAGCTAACAAACTTCGATTTATAGCTAATATTCCACGCAGGGATGTTTTTTGTAGTTTGTTTAGAAAAACAACTATTCCATACTTTCTGTAGTTTGTTTAGTTTGGTCAATTGTTCCCTATAATTAACTTCTGATGGAGTACTATTATGGGTAATGGATAAAGAAGATTAGTGGTCGAAAATAAGCAATTATTGTCCCCTTGATTTTCTAGTGACAATTCTGTGAGAACAAAATGATAGTTCTAAAACGTCAACAACAAAGATAGTAGTATGTAAGTGGAAGATGAGACATCTTTATTGTGTCTGTTGATTTATCCTGCGACTTATACAATCTTGGCAAAATTCATACTTCTCAGTTCTTTTTTATATATCCCCAAAATGTGTGCAGGTAGTTATCCCTTTACATCAGCTAAAGGCTGTTAATCCTTCATCAAGCAGAACAAACCCTTCCGAAAAATATATACAAGTCATATCATTGGATACTCATGAATTTTGGTTTATGGGCTTTCTTAACTACAATGGGTCAGTTCAGTGCTTGCAAGATGCTTTGGATGCTCACAACTTGCAATCCGTTTGATGAGTAAATCCAGTTGGCAACACATACCCGTGATTGAAAAGCACAATTTTGCGTTTCTGATAGTCAGGGCCAGGTTGAATGCTTTGGTGAAGTGAAAAGCACAATATATACTACATGTCTTTTCAAAAATAGGGATGTTATCTGATGTTAGATAAATGGATCAGCATCACTATTATTGCTCTGATCCTTGTAAGTTGAATGAGCATGCTATAGTGTGCAATTCTTGTTTTATATTTTCTTTTCATATAAGAGAACACAAGGGACAGTGTCATCATACCTTGTCAATATTGCGCAACAGTTTTGCTCTTTTCCATTTTCTCTATTCTCAAGTAGTCTTCTACTCTTTGGTAGATTTCCCCATTGATCTATCTTTTGTTTTGTTTTACTTTTAGTATTTTGTGTGCTGGCCCCTAGTAGCTTATGTTCTTTGTTCTGCGTAGGAATAAGCAAAAGCAGTTATAACTTATTTAGCTTAGCTAAAACTAACACCCTTCTCGGAAAATGCAGGAGATTCAATCACTTTAACCAAACACTTGCTAAATGGGCAGAGGACCAAATTTCGCTAATTCGTTCTGGTTCGTTAATCGTTACTAGTTTTTGTAACGAAAAAAAAAAATCGTTACTAGTTTTTGTTTTCAGATTAGCTGGACATGAGGCCTCGCAATGTCTTTAACCAGTGTATGTACTGAGTCCAGAATCTGATCTAGTTTGATCCTCTATGTGGTATGGCATTGCAAAACTGAAGAGGGTTTTCTTTTGTTCGGGATATAAATGAATACATTTCAAATAAAATACTTCAACAGCACAAACACAATGGAACTCTAGTCTTGGATTCAATAAGTATATACGGACTGCATTTTATTCAAAAACAGTGAATTTGTATTTTGAAAAGAGGAAACAAAACAAGGGCACAAGGCTGGTCCTCGATTCCAAACTAAAGTAGTGGTGGATCCAGGCCTGTTCTCGAACTTTCTAGATAAAGAAAGCTGTGTCAGTTGGTGACTTTTTTAAAGGGATTTTTTCTTGAAACAAGAAAATGTATTTTGAATGTAAATAGTACTAGGGAAATTTGTTGATTCAGTCCCATAACTTATAGTTATATCCGATATTGGTCCTGTAACTTTATTAACTTGCAATTTACATCCCGTAACTAATAAGTTGGTGCAATTTTGGTCCTTCTCTGCCGAAACTTATCAATTTCGTCATAAAAAGACACATCACCTGCCACATGGTATATTATTTGGAACTCATTTGCTGACTCAATATTGGCCCTTAGCTGGAGTTAAAAAAAAACAGAGTACGAAAGATCTTCGCTAAGTGCGTGCACAACCATACCAAAACTATTATCGGATCTGCAAAAGGGGGGAAGAACATATAATTCTACCTGGAGATTTCTTGTGAACTAAGTCGAGAGAGTGAGTTATTCTTCAAATCTGCTAGTAACGGCTCTCGATCAGACAAAAGTTTATGGAGTGTGATTGTGGTAAAAAGGTTTCTCTTCTAACTTCTTGGACTAATAACGATTCTAGAAGGAGGTTTCGTGTGTGCGCTAGAAGCAGAGTAAGAAGTTCAGCTTTTTAATTTACATTGTTTGCTTCTTTTTTTACTAAACAAACTAGAAATTTAAGAATAGCATTTGAATAATAAATTTGTTTGAAAATTAAAATGTATTTTATATTTTAAGCTAGGTTTTGCTAATAAAATTACCATCTTCTATTTGTTGGGGGCATTTGATAATGTATTTTTGTGTTCAAAGCAGTGAAAAGTAAGTTAAGCTTCATCTTGTTTTGATACAGACAGAAGGTTGCAGATTTTTTGAATGGGCGGACCCACCTATGTGCCATCGTTGAACGATGATAATTCCGGGATTGGTTGGAAGACTCAATTCAAAAGAGGAAGAGGTTGTAAAGTTATTGAAGGCTAAAAATAAAAAGCTCATCATAGTTGTTGTGGGGCTAGTGTTTTTGCTCCTGGTCTTTTTCATGTTAAAGATGTGAGAAGTGAAGATGATCTAACATTTCAAATGCTTTATTCTTAAAACATGAATCCAAAAAGCTTTAAACTTCATTCAAAATGCTCCTGCTGCAACCAAGAAGAAATAATTTTTTAACTCTAGCTAAGGGCCAATATTGAGTCAGCGAATGAGTTCCAAATAATATACCATGTGGCAGGTGATGTGTCTTTTCCGGCGAAATTGGTAAGTTCCGGCAGAGAAGGACCAAAATTGCACCAACTTATTAGTTACAGGATGTAATCTGCAAGTTAATAAAGTTACAGGACCAATATCGGGTATAGCTATAAGTTACAGGACTAAATCAACAAATTTCTCAATAGTACTATGAGCCCGTTTGGTAGTTCTTATTTTCAGTTTATCAGGCTTATCAGCCAGTTTTTCATCCAATACGTAATTTTTGATTCTGTGCGCTGAATTGTGTAATAATACGAAAAAGTAAGATTAAACTTACTTTTCTGGCTGTATTGGCTGAAGTTACTGTAGAGTATCATTTTAGCTACTTTTTCATATAATTTTTTATTTTATTTATTAATAACAAATATTTTATTTTTTTCATAAATCAGCAAAATCAACCAATACAGCCACTTCAGCCAGAACTTCATAAATTTCAGCAGAATCAGCAAATTAAGCCAATTTCAGTGTTACCAAACGGTCTTTATATGTTGCATGAAAATCGTCATTTAAGATTAAAATTATGAACGAGCTGAGGGGAAACCATGTGTGAGAGGGTGACGTTGCTGACGTGCAGTCGTAGGTAACCATGAATGAATAGAGATGGTAACAGGTAGGTTGGATTCAGTTCGGCGGTCTGGCCCAATCAGAAATCGGGTCCGGGACTGTGTGGGACCGGAACGGGTCCTTACAATCTGTCCAGGTCTAGGACTGGGTACTCCGTGGTCCTATTTTCGGGTATCAGGATCAAACCAGGCGGTGCAGCCATGCAGGGACGGTAACACATACACTCATACTCATATCGTAACGGTCTTGTTACTTCATACTTAGTAATAATTAACTAGTGTTTCACTCGCGAGTACATGAGAATCTGAATTAATTTAAAGTGATGCAAAATTACTCTACATGAATTAGAGCTGACTTATTATGTTTGGATATTGTTTCAAAGAGTTTTTGCCAATTTTAGTCTTTCGACTATTATGTCATTGACAATTTTGGTACTCGACTTTGATTTTTTCCGCTGTTAGTACTCGAGTATTGTGCTACAGACACTTTTGGTGCCCGTATTTGAAAATTTCCTTATTTAGTCCACCGACTTTCATAATAGTTACACTTTTGATCCTTCAACTATTATAATAGTGACATTTTTAGTAATCCACTTATCATGTCAAAATCGTGGAAGGATTAAAATTGTCAATTTGATAATACTTAAGAGACTAAATTTAGGAATCTTTGAAGTCGAGGACTAAAAGTGACCCTAGCACAATAGCTGAGGAATGAAATTGAAAAATTAAAAGTCGAGTATCAAAAGTGTCAATGACACAATAGTCGGGGGACCGAAAATGGCAAAAACTCTTGTTTCAAAGAATTGTATTCTTCTAGTAGAAAAAATACATTTAAAGGATTATTTAACATTTTGGCAAAAATATATGTAATCCACTTAAAATTTTGACAATAGGTGAACTTAAATCTCTGATTCTTTTGAACTATATATGTATAGAAGAACACTTGAAGTGAAGGAAACGAACCATGAAATGAAGGTTGTTTTTCCTCTTATTACCAAGACAAGACAATAAAAGAACTAATTGAAAAAATTGAATTTTAGTGCCATTACAATGTTACATTTTATAGTAAAACATGAGAAGTTTTTTTAAAAAGTGCATAGGTTTTTGTAGCGCATCTATATTTCTCTTTCTAAGATTACTTAATTAATTATAAATGTATGTATTGACATTTATTGGTGTGTTTTGTTGAGTATGTTACAAACATTCACAATGTAAGAACATCATTTTATTGCACTATTGAAAATCCCAGAGGATATTTTTGTAAAAAAATTAAGATATGAAAAATCAAAAGACTATTAAGGAATAAGGAAGAAAGAATTAAAGTTGAAGAGTAGATTAAAGTAAATTAAAGTTGCAGTTTTTGGGGAATTTTTCAAAAATAGCCCAAAAAGTAAAAATAATATCACTTTTTTCATTTTTAATATTTCTTTTCAAAAATAGATTAATCAAAATTTTATTTTAACAATAGACTCTATCATTCTAAGGCTTTACATGGTGACGTTAAAACTTTAACATATGTACCGTTAGTATCCTTTTCTTGGAGTTAGTAGGCTACCGTAAGTAGACTACCTCTTACTCAATTCATGTTTTTAAATAGAAAAAATGTAAATATTTGGTAAAATGTAAAAAAAATAAGATGAAGATTATTAGAAAATAATAGAAGTATTAAAATTAGATAATGTAAAAAGCAATAAAATAAACAAATTAAGAAATCAAATAATGCATAATGAAAATAGAAGTAGAATATTGGTAAGATATATTTGAAAAAAACTAAATTTAAATTAAAAAAATAAATTAGAAAAATGTTAAAAAAGAACATATAAAAATTTGGAAATACAAATTCAAAAGTAAGAGAGATTCAATCCAAATAATTTCAGAGGCAGCCGTAGAAAGAGCCTGATATTCAGCCTCCGTGGAAGACTTCGCAATAGTGCGTTGTTTGACTGATTTCCAAGAGATAAGATATTCTCCAAGAAAGATGGCGTAGGCACTGGTAGAGGAGCGGTCATCAGGATTCCCTGCCCAATCAGCATCGGCAAAGGCACATAAGGAGGGAGAAATACTCCGACGAAGAAAAAGTCCATGAGAGGTAGTGCCTCGTAGATAGCGTAAAAGACGTTTGAGAAGCTGCCAGTGATTAGCCGTAGGTTTATGCATAAACTGAGCTAGTTTGTTAATTGCAAAAGCAGCATCTGGGCGGGTAAGATTCAGGTATTGAAGTGACCCGATGACTTGGCGATAGAGAGTGACATCACAGGATCCAGAGCTGTCAAACAAAGTTTAGGAGGCATAAGATGCTAACGGCGTAGCCATAAGATTAGCTTCATCCATGTTCAACATTTTTAATAAGTCCTTAATATATTTATGTTGATCAAGAAAGAGTCCATCCTGTGTAGGAGTAACCTGCATGCCCAAGAAATAATGTAAGGCTCCTAAATCCTTGATTGAGAACTGGTGGGCCAAGGAATCAATAGTTTGACGTATCAAAGCTGGTGTAGAGCCAGTAATAATAATATCATCCACATAAATCAACACATATATGTAGGAGTCATGGGAAGAAAATATGAATAGACTGGCATCAGCAGCAGGCTGATAAAAACCGAGTGAGAGA